CTATAACATATATTTTGGAGTTTTGCACCTATTACCTCCCCCCAAAATATGGTCGAAAAATCAAGGTTATCCCAAAAATATAATAAAATAAATAACTATGAAGGTGAATCAGGCCTGGGCTCTGTTCCAAGGAGAGTGTGGTCACAGGAACGTGCTGAGAATGGAGGGGCCAGGAAGGCTTCAGATTGGACTGTGGTAGTTACTCAAAAGGAGGGAGGGTGGATAAATTGTATTGCTAAGTGAGACACATCATTGAATTATTTAGATGTTCATTGTTTCCAAGAGAAGAAAAGAACAATGTTCTTGGACAAGGGTCAAAACTCCTCTAATAGTATACTTAAGATTTGCACATTTCTCCAAATAAAGTTTTATCTCAAAGAAAAATCTTGACCCAATTTTAACTCTAGTTGTTAATTGGAATTCTCAAGTGTTGAGAAATGAAAGGTGCTGACATGTGCAAGTAACTTTGAAATGCATCAGAAAAATAAGATGGATGAACAGAGAGACAGATCCGTGGATAAAGAAAGATAAGCGATAAAACAAATGTGGCAAACACTAATGCTGGTATCTAGGTGGTGTGCTCTGCACTGTTATTTCAATATTTCTGTGTGCTGAAAATATTCATCAAATACCACAGACTGAGCAGGGAATGCACGTCTCATTATGACATGTGGCGGCGGGATGAAAAAGGATTACTTAGAGTCCATGTGCAGAACAATGAGAAGCCTAGAGGGACCACACCACGAAGGTGCAGCCCAGCTCACAGAGCAGTCTCATTTTTATTAGAATCAAACAGAACATTTAAAAAAAAAGACCAAAGAAGCAGCAGGCAAATGGGGAATGCACAAGTGTGTGGGGGACTCGTAACCGTTTGGCCCATCCAAGGCTGAGAAATCAGGGAGAGAGTCAGTGGTTTGCTACTCTAAGCACAACATCTATTGAGGTTTTCAGCACTTGCTGAAACAGGACTCTCAGGACTTTTGCCCTGAGAGGTTCCTTATCTCAAACTCTCCCTGTTCATGCTCTGAGAGGCACAAATAAGTCAAGGCAAAGAATAATCCAAGCTCCCATATTTCCTCTCCTTTTGTTTTATGGGGATTCAGAATCAGAAGAGGAGTCAGCAGGAGGCACAGAAAGGGGTTGATATTGTGATGTTTGTAGAAAGGTCAGCCTGGCCTCAGCTTGTCCGGGGTCGCCCGGAGCAAGGGACAGTGGGCCTTTAGCACTGAAAAAAAAACACGAAATACATAATATACCCAGTCTGGCCATAACCCATATTCTGATAATGAGACCTGAAAACCAATTTGTTGGGTTTAGCCAGTGGGCTAGATCATTTAGATGGCTGAAGGTGGCATTTTTTGCCTCTTGCCATTTGTTGCTGAAGTTTATTTCTGAGATCTAGACTATCGCGTCCCAGATGATCGTGGAAGGCACCATGAAGTCACCATTGGACGTCTTCCCAAGAGGAGGTGGTGGTAAAGGAACAGCAGTAATGCTCATTGAGTGGTACTAGTATCACAACTCAGTCTGCTGAGTGTCCCGAGGGCTTGTTGATGTTCTCCAAGCCAGGACACTGCAGCCTTGAGGGTATCTAGTCACTGTAAGATTTCCTGATCAGTGGTGGTTTGAGTCAGGAGTTCGGAAGTAACATTCTGAAAATATCGATTCATTTGCTGTGCAGTGTGAAGGGAGTGAGGTAGGGCCACTATGGCAGTAGCAGCAGCCGGCCATAGCAGTGGCAGCAATAACAGCAGCTATGAGGACACCGAAAAGAGTATGTTCTAAAGCATTGGTAATTTGTTCAAGAGAAGATTCTTAATCCACTCATGGGTAAGATTACCTGGCAGTCAGACCTCAGCTCTTTGTTTTAGAAAGAGCACATGAGCAATGTTAAGGCTAGTGATGTTGTGGTGAGTGATGCAAGGGGTTAACCATGTGACATTGGCATGAAAGGTGGCGTTAAAACCTTTAACCTTTTTCTGGCTAGCAGCAGAATAAGTGGTCACCATCATGTTAAGTGTTCTGGAGGTCATAATAAAAATATAGGGTCTAGAAGTATAGATTATGACTTGAACTATAGTGTCATTACTGATCCATACAAGGTTCTAGCCTTAATAAGATCCATAATGGATCACTGGGGGGGAGGGAAAGGTTAAGGCAATGCACCAAAAATGATATTTTAAGGGAGACATTTGAGAGTGATGTCTGATTCTTAATGAGGTCCCAGCTAAACCGGGATCCCAGTGTCCAGGATAGCCATAAGAATTAAATGGAAGGGCCCAGTTCCAGGTTGTGTTAGTTTCCTGGACATTACATTTCAAGGTTCCCAATTTCTAGGGACCAGTTAGAAAACAAAGAATTTATTTTAAGATTAGTTGATCTACAGATGACCCAATTTAGGTCTAGGCCTTCTCCAAGTGGTACCCAGAACAGATGGGGACATTAGGTTTAGGCAAGTTTTCCCCCAATATTGTTGTACCACCTACTCCTGGTGTTTGAGCGAAAATTTGATGTTTCATTATTTTACTGCGATTTTTGCCATTTGTACCTAGATAAATGTGATTCATATACCACTGAGGTTGAAAAGGGATGCAATAATGACCAGAGGGCCTCCCCGGTGGCGCAGCGGTAGAGCGCTGGGTTGCGAAGCTGCCCGCGGCCTCTGCCACGCCGGTTCAATCCCCGGCTGCTCCCCGGCCACCAGAGGAGGGTCCCACATGGCGCGCAGACTTCTCCTGCCGCCCGCTGCTCCCCTCAGCAGTGTACTTCGGTCCTTCTGCCTGCTCTGCTCCCCGCTCTGGCTCTGGTGAATTCTCTCACCCTCCCGCGCTTCTGACTGTACCCAGTGCATGTATAAACAAAACAAACAAATAAATAAATAAATAAAACATGCCTCTATTAAAAAAAAAAAAAAATCTAAAAAAAAAATAAAATAAAATAATGACCAGAGCTGTGGGTAGCAAGAGCACACATGGGCAGATCTTCTGTGAGGAAAAACCAATCATGAACAAGGAAATGGCATCCACCCTGATAATCTTCCTGGTTACATTTAGTACCGCAATTTCTTAGTGGACCCGAAGGAGGAAGCCAATTTCCTCCAGTAAATAAATGAATGCAGAATAGGTGCCTTTACCTCTCTCAGACCTTCAACATGGGAGTAAATTAAACACAGGTGGGTTTAATATATGTGTCCAATAGGTGGTATTGTTACACAGCAACCCCAATATAAATTGGTTGCCTGACTGTGGGTCCTCACCCATGCGCTTAAAGGGGACTTATTAATGCTAAACTGCAGGCACTCACAAAAGTTTGATAAAAGGTTTATTTACAAGGGAAGGGGAAATGAATAACTCAGGGAGAAAAAGAGGGAGATAGGTCGTAAATGCATCCTACCCATTCCACTGACGTGTACTCCCAATGACGTGCTAAGCTGGCAAAATACATGTGGCCAAGAGAGTGACCCCTGGCCACATGGACAGTTAAATACTCAAAAAGAGAACATGGCTGCTTAACTCTGCCCTCAGGTCCTTTGGTGATCATGGGATTTGTAGTTCCCAGTGTCTTGATGGAGTGGGGGTGGAGTCCACAAAGCCTGTATGGAGTTTGCTCAGGACATCCTTTCCTGTGCAGTATTACTTAAAATAGATGGAATGGAACATAATGGTCCCATGAGCAAGGAAATGCAGCCATGTTATGAGCAGCCATGTTTCTGAGTCCTAGGGCAAGTTAGGGATAATTAGGCAGCCTCAAGGACAGTGCAGGGACTTCAGGAGGGTTAAGAAAGCCTCCAGAGATAAGGCTGTTAGGGGGAAAAGGATGTCCCAAAGCAAATTCCATATAGGCTTTGTGGACTCCACCCCCACCCCAGGTCAAAGCCAAAGACACTGGGAACTCCAAATCCCATCACCACCAAAGGGAAGGTGGCTGGGACCTGAGGGTGGGGTTAAGCAGCCAGGTGGATACAAAAGGCAGACACGTGGGCTTTGGGGGGCGCTCCATTTTTGGCTCTCCACCAGCTCGCAGCGTCCGGCCAACTCTGAGAGTGACTTTGGGTTTCCAGGTCGTCGGATCGGGTAGGACGCATTAAAGACTTTATTTCCCTATTTTCTCCCTGAGTTGTATATTTTCCTTATTTCTTTTTCTCTTGTAAATAAACCTTTTATTAACCCTTTTGCGTGTGTCTGTAGTAGAGTATTTATAAGTCCCTTTAAAGTGCGCGGGTGAGGACCCACAGCCAGGAACCCGTTTAATATCGGGGTTGCTCTATAACAAGGCAACAGATTCCAAAGGGCATCATCAATCACCCCAGGACTGAGGGCAACAGGACATTCCTGGACAAGGACGATAAAGAAAAAAGATAAGGGCTGGGACGCAGACACTCATTTCTGGGCACAGAGACATTCAGGCAGTGAGTGAGACAGAGAACTAACCAATCACAAAGAGCCTGGTGGGGCTTTAGAGTAATCAGGGAAAGAAGGTCTATGTTCCCTAGGCATGACCCACTTGGGCTTCCTTGCCCCTCCCTGGCCTGGTTCCATGGCCTGGGACTCCCACTTTATTTCTCTTCCTTTTCTCAATAAGCTTTTTCTTTCTCTAAACAAGTCTGCCTCCTCTTGTTTGCTTGCCTGAGCGTTACCGAAGTTCCTGCTGCGGCTTCATGCGGGGTCTAACGGCTGGGGCTCAGCGCTGCCCCTGCAGCCTGGGATCATTCCAGATTGGGAGACAGGGCCTGAGAACCTGCAATTCCCGTATCATTACCTTAAAGCCTTTAGATTTTATGGGGATGTGAGCTAGCATTGAGAGGAACAGATTTTCTGGGGTCTCAGGCTTCCCAGTGACCTTCAAGTCTTTTCTGCTTCACTCCTTAACTTTTTTAGATCAGCCCAGGGCGGTGGAGCAGATGCTCCATTGAGTCCACAAGATGCATCTTTGTCCTTTTCCATCCCCTCCGCGGAGGCGGGTGTACTGCAAACATTCCAATCTGGGAAGAGTCAGTGGATCAACAGGGCGGGGAAGAAACGCTCAGATCAGCGTGAGCTCTCCCATAAAAACAGTCAATAGGGAGAAAAAGCGGCAGGTCCCTGGGAGAACCGGGACACGTAGGATAAGCTGGCAAACTGCCCGGAGAGGGAAGTTGCAGTAACAGAGGAGCAGAGAGGGAAGCAGCAGATCCCTGTGGCCTCCCCCACCCACAAGGCCTCCTCGCCCGGCCCTACAGAAAGGGAAATAAACAAGAGCAAACCAAGAACCCACTAGACCGTGAGCACAAGGGAACCAGGGGCACCTCACCAGATAGCCAGGAACTGGGGAAACGTGCGCGTTCCTGTGGGAAGAGCCAAGGGCGTGAGCGAAAGGCACCTGGAAGCCCAAACTGGGCGCCCCCAGAGCAAGGCGGGGACCCCGCGGAGACCCGCAAACAGCCAAGGGCAGCCGGGGCGCGGGAAGCACAGGCGGATGCGGCTGCCCAGGTCCCCGCCCGCGCCCTGGGGCTGTGGGGAGACGCTGCAGCCGGCACTGGGGTGAGTCTCCGGAGCGGGGTTCACCCCTGGTGGACCCAACTCCTGGTCAGGGCGCACAGCCCGTGTCTGCGGGGACAGATAGCAGCGCCCCCATCCTGGGTCAGTGATGGGACAGGCCCGGCCAGTCTGGTCCTGGCAGCGGGGTCGGTGCAAACTGCAGGTCTGGTCCAGACTCAGCAGGAGTAAGATGCCCTCAGCAGCTGTTAGGGCGGAGGGGTTGCGATTTAGGAAGTTTAAAGTAAATGGAGCTTTATGTATTTGTTCCCTTAGGGGCAACTTGCTCTCTGATTCCCTTTTTTTTTGTTTTGTTTTGTTTTGTAAGTTGTGTTTTAAGGAGCCTGTTGGCTCTTTTTACTGTAGTTTGGAGACGCCAGGCACATGTTGAATATTCCAAACTAGCAGGAAAGAATTAAAAGCTTTGAAGATGTAAGCAGGTCCATTATTAGTTTTTTGGTTTTTTTTTAAAGATTTATTTATTTATGCATACAAGACCTGGGTCCCGGCCAGAGGACTCACCAGAGACACAGTGGGAAAATGAACAGGCAGAATGACTGAAATACACTGCTGAGGGGAGCAGCAGGTAAGGCAGGGGAGGTCTGCTGTGCTATGTGGGTAGCTCCTTGGCTGGGATGGAACTCATACAGTGGCTGCAGACAGCTTCATAGGTTGTGTCTTAACCCCTTGTGCCACCAGGGAGGCCCTCCATTATCACTTCAAAAACACCTTTTATCTGTCATTGCAGCGATGGGCATCCCATCACAAATGAAAACTGATAATGGATCATGTTTTTTTGACACGGTTACAGGTTTACCCTGTTTGGGCTGAGGCTTGAATTAATGCAGACTAGGTGTCTTTAGAGACATGAATGTAACGTTTATTTGTCAAATATCATTACGTTTCAGACTGGGGCTTCTCTGTTATTTCTGCCTTTTGTAGCAGTGGCTAGAAGAGCCAATGGGCTGTTAATTTGGAATTTGGTTATGATGCCCTGACCCCATAGAGGAAATACTCAGGAAGACTAAAATTTAATGTGTTATGTATTTTTATTAATATACCCAGATTGACCCAATTTGTTTTTACAAGGAAAACACTTTTATTGGCTGTCTTAGTGTTACAGGGCAACCCCGATATAAAACCAGTTGCCTGACTGTGGGTCCTCACGTGCGCTTAAAAGGGACTTATTAATACTCAACTGCAGGCACACACAAAAGGTTAATAAAAGGTTTATTTACAAAGGAAAGGAAAATGAAGAAATGAATAACTCAGGGAGAAAAAGAGGGAGATAAACTCATGAATACATCCTACTTGGAATCCCAGTGGAATCCCAGTGGCACGCTGAGAGCTGGCAAAGAGCCAAGAGCCATGAAGCCAAGAGAGAGACCCCCCAAGGCCCATGTGTCTGGTTTTATACCAAACCTGGCAGCTTAACTCCACCCTCAGGTCCCAGCAACCTTCCCTTTGGTGATGATGGGATTCATCTTTCCCAATGTCTTGATGGGTTTGGTCTGGAGTGGGGGTGGAGTCCACAAAGCCTGTATGGAATTAGCTCAAGACATCCTTTCCCCCTAACATTCGGAGTTCTTTAGGACAAAGACTTTAACATTTTTTTAATTTAATTTACTTTTTTATTTATATATATATATTTTATTTCTTACATCATTGTTCATTTTTAAACAATATTTGCTTCCCCACCCCCCGGTGTAGTCCCCATAGAATTTCCTTCACCAGTGCACCCGTGCACCATCACCTCAGTCCCCTGTGCTCTTCCCTCCCTCCCTATGATCCCTCTCCCTCCTCCTCCCCTGCAGAATGTATAAAGACTTTAATGTTAGAATTTTTGGTCTCAAGGAAGTTGTCATAGGATTAACAAACTTACAGATTTTTATAAAATAGTTAATTACTCAGAGTGACAAGGATTTTTAAGAACAGAGCTATTTCTTTCTTTTTTTTTAAAGATTTTTTTTATTATTATTTATTTTTATTTATACATGCACTGGGTACAGTCAGAAGCGCGGGACGGTGAGAGAATTCACCAGAGCTGGAGCAGAGCAGGCAGAAGGACCGAAGTACACTGCTGAGGGGAGCAGTGGGCGGAGAGGTCTGGGCTCCATGTGGGACCCTCCTCCCGTGGCCGGGGAGCAGCTGGGAATCGAACTGGCGCTGCAGAGGCTGTGGGCAGCTTCGCAACCCAGCGCTCAACCACTGTGCCACGGGGGAAGCCCCAGAGCTATTTCTTTGACGAGGCTCAGCAATGCTGATAGGAAAAGATTTTGAGCACCTAACGTTTTTTTCAGATACCTCTCTCAGACCTTCAACACTTTCTTTTGCCTTACTGTTTTTATACCATTTCATTTTAAAGCTAGCCTTTTTATTTTAACACTCAATGTTTCCCAATACCTTCACCATATCCATTTCAATTACATTCTTTAACACAACTCACTTTATTTACATTTAGAGTTATGACATCCCAGTTTTTAATTTTTAGATGGTAAGACATTGTAAGAGCTGTTATGCTATCATTCCTTTGCACTGGTGTTACAGGGCAGGGGAGGAGCCCCCCAGGACCCCCAAACCTGCCTGCTCTAAATAGTTTCTGCCATCCACTGCATCAAGACAAAACGTAGAAGATCTTTAATGGAAAGGAACTTTAATACAATTAGAGAAAAATACAGAAAAGACAAAGCATATAGTTTCTAAATCAAGCACCCAGAGGTACCCGTCCCCTCATGGGTAAAAGTCCACCCAAACAGGATTGGCCCAGAGCAAGGCCTGTAAGCCTGCCCCAAGTCTAAAGCACCTTCCAGTGGGGACCCACAGAAAAGGATCAGAAACAACCAGACAAGTCTGGGCGGAAAAGAGCAAAATAAAAATCAAGGTAAAAGCTGCCATTGTCACCTCCCTACGGGTCTCTCACTCACATCTGTGTCACCCGGTCCACAACCAAAAGGCAAGTGCAGTTTCTTCACGTGTCTCTCGGCACCATGTGCCTCCTCCAGGTCTCTTGTCCTTAGAGATAGTACGTGGGAGAGCCTGTCTTACCTCTGAGCTCCTTTAATGAAGGTCTTTCCCTCCTGCACTGGGGTCTTCCCAGTCAGAGGCAGCTTATGGTCCATTTTTTCCTGCAGTTTGGCTTGTGGGTTGGGCTGCGCCTCCCTCTGTAGAGAGTGGGACAGTTCCTCTTCCAGGGCCCTGTGTGAGGGCACAGAGGGTGTAGGGTAAATGGTTTTTCAGGCTTTTCTGCCCTCCCACCATTAGGTTTGCCCTGCTGATGGGGTACCTGCAGTTGTTACATTGTAGCAAAATGTCTTACTTACTTCTGTGGGCCATGGGAAGAATATATAGATAGTTATCAAGAGGAGAAGAAGAAGCAGGGAAGAGGCAGGAGAGAGAGAAGGGGAGAAAAGAAGGCCAGAGAAGCCCAGAGTGAAGACTTGCCTGGGGCCTAGAAGCCTATCGGCCTACCGGCCTCCCGGCACCCCTGCCTGCTGTGTACCTGGTTGCTGCAATACATATAAAGCTCAATAAAAGCCTGAGAAACCCACTGAGGGCTCCAGGACTCTCCTTTACCCGTCTGCCGGATCATAGATAACCTGCAACGTGCCCATCCTGCTATTACAGAGGGCATGGCCCTGGGTGGTCGCTTTGGATGCTTGTGGCTGAAATGTCCTGGTTGCTTCAGGCCCTTTTAGAGAGACAGAAGATTTACATTAGTTTCCCAAAGTCCTTGTTTTTCACTTGGTCTCACTGAGAACAAAGGCAGCTTCCCCATCAGCTGCTGTGAGTCTCACTTTAGTCCCCAGCATTCTCCCTCCTGCCTCAGTTGTGGTGTAAGAATTGAAATTTATACTCCAAATTCGGCCAGGAGTTCTTTGTTCGCTCGTTTATGAGCTGGCCAGGCAGGAGCTCAGAAGATCTGAGGACACAGTCCAGGGATGAGCAGGCAGTGGAGGGCTCTTTACCCACCTGGAAGAGAATGAAAGGAAAAGCACCCCCTTTTTTGTCATCTCTGACCTGTAGCCAAAAGGCACCCCTTTGAGTCTTGGAATTGTGGGGGGAAGGTGACCTACACCCACCAGTTGGAGAGGAGACATCCCGTGGCTTAGTCACCCTTACCATGCCCAGCAGCCTGTCGTCCTGTCCCTACTCCTTTCCACAGGTCTGAAGACCCAGTAGGGCACCTGCCTGGATGGTGGGACTCAGGGGCTGGTGAGACACCAGGACACGGAGGAGGAGCCTTTCCCAGCTTCCAGGACAATATCTGTGGTGACTGAATGGAGGAGCAGGGAAACCAAGGAGGGGATCCAGGGGCCAGTCCAGGGGGGACAGAAAATCTGTGAGGATAGACTCTGAGGTGGACTGGTACAACACAGCAGTTTCAACTGTTATGTTCTCAGTTTGTGTGGGGAAATGTGACCTCAGACCAACATTTTATACAATGCTGTGGTAACAGTAACAAAGCACCTGTGAAATTTTCTGCCAAGTTTGTTTCCTTAGTGTTCAGGGGCAGATACTCCCCCCCCACCATGGGGAAATTCTTCTTCTCTGTTTGATTCACAAAAAACTATACACCCCCTTACACCACAGTGTCGGTGGGAATCATTCATGCATTTTAATATTGTCCTCTGCTTAGGCTTAAGGAGGCAAATTGCACAAAAACTAGCTGGATACAATCTGAGCACTTTCAATGGTCATTTCCGCTAAAACCTGGGAAATAATTTGACTGTCCCACCACTTTACAAAGGTATAGAATTTTCATGCTGTTATATGAAATGATTTTTTTAATAATAAATTTTATTTTTATATTCCCCATACAATTGCAACCCCCTTATTTTGACCCCAATCCCTCCCCTACCCCCCATAGAGTGTCTCTGGTTCATAGTTTTTTGTTGATTTTGATTTTCACTTTCTTACAGTTACTCATTTTCCTGGTCCCTTATTTAGGTTTTCTAAATTCTTGCTATGAGTGAGACCATCTGGTATTTTTCTTTTTCTTTCTGGCTTATTTCGCTGAGCATGATCCCTTCCAGCGCCATCCATGTTGCTGCAAATTGCATGTGTTTACCTTTTTTGAATGCTGGGTAATATTCCATGGTATATATGTACCACATCTTCTTGATCCAGTCATCTATTTTTGGGCATTTGGGCTGTTTCCAAAGCTTAGCTATTGTAAACAGTGCTGCTATAAACATAGGGGTGCAGGTGCTCTTTGGAACTGATGTTTCTGTGTCTTTTGGGTAAATACCAGGAGTGGAATTGCTGGATCATATGGAAGCTCTATCTTTAATAGGTTGAGGAATCTCCACACAGCTTTCCATAGTGGTTGGACCAGTTTGCACTCCCACCAACAGTGCAGGAGAGTTCCTTTTTCTCCACACCCTCGCCAACATTTGTTGTTGCTAGTTTTTTTAATATGTGCCATTCTCACTTGTAATCAGGGAAATGCAAATCAAAACTACCATGAGATACTATATGAAATGATTTTTATTTTTATGTCTTCAAAAATTAAGAAGAGTTGATGGTTGATTTGATGTTCAAGGCTGTAAGTTTCTGGCTTGTGTATTTTCTGTTAATAACTTGTTATATAATGTTAAGATAGTACTCATGTAAAGGAATTGGTGCGATTTGGGTGACTGCATACAGGATAATTATAAAGTGAAATCATTATTTCCTTGTCTTTCTTTTATATTGAAGATTTATTTTTATTTATTTATGCATACAAGAACTGGGGTATAGGCCAGAAGTGTGGGGGTGACACGAGTCACTGGATACAGAGTGAGAGTGGGGGAGCAGAACAGGCAGATATGCTGAAATATACTGCTGAGGGGAGCAGCAGGTGAGACAGGAGAGGTCTGCTGTGCCTTGTGGACTAGCTCCCTGGTTGGGGATCAAATTCATGCCATTGTGGCTAGCGATAACTTGATAGTGCGATAACTTAAATCTGTGCTACAGGTGTGCCCTATTTTCTTGTCTTTCATCTAACTTCAGACATTTGTTTTTCTAGAAGAAATGATCATCTATTGCTCTAATGAAATTATGCTTAAGACATTGACTGTAAATATAATTTATCTAATCTGATTATTAGAATATTTGCCATAGATATAAATGATAATATATGGCTGTGGAGGTATGAAAACAGCTAAGTTGCTGCTTATGATTAACTAATAGTCTTGTGGATGAAAGGAAAAGGGAGAGTTAGATAAACTTATTTGTAGAAAGGTCAAAGATGAATAACTATTATATATTAAAAGATCACATTTATATGGGACAATAAGACATATTTTGGAGTTTTACACCTATAAACCACCCCCCCATATGGTTGAAAAAATCAAAGTTATCAGAATAAATATAATAAAATAAATAACTATGAAGATGACTCAGGCCTGGGCTCTGTCCCAAGGAGAGTGTGGTCACAGGAATGCGCTGAGAATGGAGGGGCCAGGGAGGCTTCAGACTGGACTGTGGTAGTTACTCAAAAGGAGGGAGGGCAGATAAATTGTATTGTTAAGTGAGACACATCATTGAATTATTTAAATGTTCATTGTTTCCAAGAGAAGAAAAGACCAATATACATAATGTTCTTGACAAGGGTCACAGCTCCTTCAGTAGTGTACTTAAGATTTGTGCATTTCTCCAGATAGAGTTGGTTTTTTTGTTTGTTTGTTTTTTTTGTGGGACCCTCGCTGGCAGCCAGGGAACGAACCAGCGCTCAACCGCTGCACCACCAGGGGAGGCCCTCTCCAGATAGAGTTTTATCTCAAAAAAAGATTCTTAGCTCAAGTGTTGAGAAATAAAATGTGGGGAGTGCCTAGTGACATAAGGGGTTAAGTCTCCGCACTTGCGAAGCTATTGGCAGCCATTGCAGTAAGAGTTCTAACTCCGGCCAGGGAGCTGACCCACATGGCACAGCAGACCTCTCCTGTTTCGTCCACTGCTCCCCTTAGCAGTGTATTCTGGTAGATCCACTTGCTCTGTTCCCCACTCTGTCTCTGGTGAATCCTCTCACCCACACACCTCTGGCCTGTGCCCCAGCTCTTGTATGCATAAATAAATTTTTAAAATCTTTTAAAAAAATAAAAGAAAGATGGGTACTGACGTGTGCAACTAACTTTGAAATGCATCAGAAAAATAAGATGGATGAATAGAGAGATGGAGCCGTGGATAAAGATGAGTGATAAAGCAAATGTGGCGAATGCTAATGCTGGATCTAGGGTGTGCTCTGCACTGCTATTTCAATTTCTCTGTGTGCTTGAAAATGTTCAAGGTGGGGTTTACATGTGTCTTTGTCACCCTTACTCAGTGTCCATCTCTCCTGACAGCGCAAGCTCCACGTCTCCAGGGGCCTCTCTCTGCTCCCCATTGTATCTGCAGGGGAGGCAGCTTGGGGAGGCAGGAGCCAGCCAGGGAGAGGGATGCTGGGAAGTGAAGAGGAGGCAAAGGCAGAGAACACTTGGGAGATGCTCCCTGGTTTCCTGAGAAAAGCATTTCTCAAAGTGTGGTCTGTGGAGCCCTTGAAGTCACCCAGAACCTTTCATGGGATCCATGAGGGAAAACTAATTTCAAAACATCACTTAGACACATTTGTCTTTTCACTATTTGGCGTTTGCTGAGGTAAAAATTTGTAAGAGTGGAGCTTATAGTACCACTGCAGAAGCAGTAATTCTTCATCAGCACTTACCTGCAAGAACGAAAATCAAAGCCAGTTTCATTTGAAAATGTCCTGGGAAAAGCATTAAAAGTTATCTTCATTATTGCATCATCCTCAACTTCACATTTTAAAATATGTGGTGTGCTGACCTGGAAGGACACACAGAGCACTTCTGTGGCATCCCCAAGCCCTGTGTCCTAAGGAAAATATTTGTTACGAGATGAATTAGAATCTTTTTATTTGTGGGCAACACCAGTCTTACCTGAAGGGATGAATGACACAAACTAAGGTTATTTAAATTTGGGTAATTAGAGCCTCCCCTGGTGGCACAGCAGTTGAGCACTGGGCTGTGAAGCTGCCCACAGCCTCTGCAGCTCCAATTTGATCCCCGGCTGCCAGGCGAGGGTCCCACATGGCATGCAGACCTCTCCTGCTGCCCGCTGCTCCCCTCAGCAGTGTACTTCCGTCTTTCTGCCTGTTCTGCTCCCTCCTCTGGCTCTGGTGAATCCTCTCACCCTCCCACGCTTCTGACTGTACCCAGTGCTTGTATAAATAAATAAATCTTTTTTAAAAAATTTAAAAAATAAATAAATAAATTTGGGTAATTAGCAGACACTTTCCTCAAAACGAGTATCTGTTTCTTGAAGAAAATCAACAATGGCAAATGACAATAACTTTGCCTGATAAAATACTCTCAGAGAAAACCAGAATTATGAAAAATTGAGTGCATCACTCTTGACAATTTATAGTATGAATTTTTCTTTTGGGATTTGTGATTAAAAAATAAAACATTTTTGATCATTTGATTCTAGTGTAATAATTAACACTAAAAAAATCTAAGTAACTTAGTGAAACAATGTATCACCTTAAAAAATCATACATTAGCACAATTCCAATCAATATGCAAGAGAAGCCTATGGAAATGTAACAGAATAGGAAATATTCCCTGATATTATTTCAGGTTTCACTTAGCAAATAACCTTTAAGACTACCACCTGTACAGTTTTAATTTAGTATCAATATTCACAATTATTTGAAAATACTACGTTTCTTCATTCCTCCAGGCTGCTGCTTCTCCCAGCCCAAATCCACTCCTCCCTAAGGAGGGGAAAGGAATTTGGAGCCTCCCCTTTCTGTGGATGTCACCCTGTCACAGCATCATGTCTCCCTCTCACAGGCTCTGTGGGGTGGTGCAGCCTTGATGACCCCACACTCACCCCCATTCTCTCTCCCCATTTCCTGGGGGTGTCCAGGGAAGACAATCAGCATCATCCTGCTCCAGTTACAAAGTCTCCAAGGACCCTCCTGGACTCCTTCTCCCCAGGCCCCTGGATGGGTGTGATGCCCCTCCCCCTCCTGCTGCTGCTCTGGGGGCCCCTGGCCCTGATGGAGACCCGGGCGGGTGAGTGCGTGTCCAGCTGGACACTGTTGCTCCAGGAGGGAGGAGCAAGGAGCCCCCTGCGGGTGCAGGACCCAGGAAAGGCTCATCTGCCCCCAACCTCTTGATCCCCTTCAGGCCTGTTGTGTTCTGGCCCCTTCTGTCCCTCCCGCCTCCCCTGAGTGCTCTGGACCTCTGAGTCTGGGCCCTTCTTGGCCCACCCCCCCCTTTTCACTCTCACGGCCCCGCCCCTTTCTCCCCTCCAGGCCCATATCCCTGGGCCCTGGGCCCCGCTGAGAGGAGGGTCAGCCCGGCTCTCCCCTCCCGCCCCCAGGTTCCCACTCCCTGAGGCTTTTCTACACCGCGATGTCCCGGCCCGGCCTCGGGGTCCCCCGCTACATCGCTGTGGGCTACGTGGACGACACGCAGTTCGGGCGGTTCGACAGCGACTCTCCGGGCCAGAGTGCGGAGCCGCGGGCGCCCTGGGCGGGGCAGGTGGGGCAGGAGGACCTGGACGAGGAGACTCAGAACCAAAGGGACAACGCACAGTGGTTCGAAGCGCTCCTGAAGGACCTGCGCGGCCGCTACAACCAGAGCGAAGATGGTGAGCTTCGCGGAGCAGGGCCAGGGTCAGGTCACACCCCCATTCCCACCATCAGGCCGGGGTGTCCCGAGTCTCAGGGTCCACTGACCCCTCGAGGCTGGTGGGTCTGCCAGGCCCCTCCCCCGGGAAGGGACTTTCCTGCCGGCCCTTTCATTTCAGTTTAGGTTTATTCAGGTTGAGGGTTGTGTGTGATTGAGGGGCAACCTCTCGGCTGACCACTTGGCGGGGCGCAGGGTCTCACACCCTCCAGAGCATGTGTGGCTGTGAAGTGGGGACAGACCTGCGTCTCCGCGGCGGGTATGAAAAGTTCGCCTACGACGGCGCGGATTTCATCTCCCTGAGCGAGGACCTGCGCTCCTGGACCCCCGCGGACTCGGGGGCTCAGATCACCCAGCGCGAGTGGGAGGCGCAGGGGAGGGCCGAGCGCGTCAGGAATATTATACAGAGCAAGTGCTTCCAGTGGCTCCTCAGATTCTTGGTTTGGGGGAAGGAGGTGCTGCAGCTCACAGGTAAGAGGGGCCACAAGGCCTCAGACCTTCCCTCTCCTGGCGCCCCACAGGGAAAATGGAATAATGGGCAGAGGGAGGAGCCCCCTGGGTTTCATGTTCTGTGCTAGAGAGAGACTCGCCCAGAAGACACTACATTTCTGGAAGGTTCAGGAATCCAGTCTCTCCTGAGGGAGGGAGGCCATCCTGAAATAACTCTCCCTAGATCCTTGTGACCCGGCAGCCATCCTGGGAACCATGAGTTTCTCTTCAAGGTCTTGTTTTTGGTCTGAGAACATTTCTGGATCTGACTCCTGCCTTTCTGTGTCATTCACCCTCCACCCAGGTCAGGAGCAAAAGTCTGTGTTCTCCTTAGAGACCTGTGTCCTCCTACCCTGGCCTCTCACCCGATTATCCCAGATTCTCCAGACTAGGCTGGCTTATAGGCTTTATGCTTCCTCTCTCCAAAGCAATTGTCATGTCCATTCTAAGGATGAGGCTGCTTCAGTATCCACAGAGGAAACCCAAAGTGTGAATTTTTGACTATTCTCTTCAGATCCCCCCAAAACACAAGTGACCCACCACCCCACCTTTGAGCATAAGGTCACCCTGAAGTGCTGGGCCCTGGGCTTCTACCCTGCGGACATCACCCTGACCTGGCAGCGTGATGGGGAGAACCTGACTCAGGACACAGAGCTGGGGGAGACCAGGCCTGGGGGAAATGGAACCTTCCAGAAGTGGATGGCTGTGGTGGTGCCTTCTGGAGAGGAGCAGAGATACACGTGCCATGTGCAGCATGAGGGGCTGTCGGAGCCTACTGCCCTGACTTGGGGTAAGTAGGGGGAGGTGGACACTGGGCTTCTGCTCAGAGGAATCAGGAGCCCTTCTGGAGACCTTCAGAGGGTCAGGATGAGGCCTGGGGCTCAGGGATTGAGCTTCCCTTCCCTTCCAGTGCCCCCTCGTCAGTCCTCCGTCCCCATCGTGCGCATCGTTGTTGGCCTGGTTCTCCTTGGAGCTATGCTCACTGAAGCTGTGGTGGCTGCAGCTATGTATGTGGTGGAGGAATACGCACTCAGGTAGGGAAGGGAGTGGGGGGTCTTGTCCACTGGGGGCTTTCATGTCCCTGGGAGAACTTGCCCTTCCTGGTTAGTAGGGAGTATGTTCCACACACATGTGTTGCCCAGTGTGGAGCTTATTGCTAACACTCACTCTTTGTAAAGCACTTATGAAAATGAATCACTGCCGAAGACCAGCCTCGGCAAAATGTCATGTCGGGTGTCCCTGAAAGGATGAGACGGCCTAGGTGAAACTTTAAGGGCTGAAGGGAAGGGGATGAGGTAGTGAGGACACACTGACACTTGATGAGGTGCAAGTATCTTCTACTCAGGGCCTCAGCAGGCCTTTATTTATACATGTTTTAGCAAGCAGTGAGATTACATTATCATGTGCAATGAAACAAAGCAGAAACAATCAGTGCATTCTTTTCCCGTAGACTTTTGGCCACTACATGCTCTCAGCAAGAAGGCAACCTTCAAGGTTAATAGATAAAAACTAAGCCTTACACTAAAACTCATTATTTCAGTTAAACAGTTGCCTAAGACAGCCGACAGCTGTCCGTATGCTCCTGTCAGCTAAAGCCTAAGCATCAAAAGATTCTTACTCGCATGGCCTTCAGCCGGAGACCAGCTGCTTTCTAGTTATCAGAACTTTTTCTACCTAGAAACTCCTTAATGCAATTAACTTCATTTAAAACTTTCCTAAAAAACTTTTCAAAAAAAGCAAAAGAAGGACTTACTATAATCGTTGTCCTGGGTTGCCTTGTCAGGCATGTTCATGTTTAACAAATTATTTCCCATTGTCAGGCAGGCCAAATTTACAGTGTTTGATTTTTAAGCAGGTATTTCTTTGTGCCACTTACTTACAGTATTCTTATACATATAATTTATTGCCCAATGTATTTTTTGAGAGTTTTTTCTCTTTTTATGACCAAGAACAAAAAACAAAGGGATGCTTATAGGTTATAGATTAATATTCAGCCCCACAGTGTGAGGCACAAGGAATCTTCAGCCCCACGGTGTGAGGCTCTTTGGAAATCTTTGGCCCCATGGTGTGAGACCCTTTTCTTAGCTGCTTGCTAGTGTCTTACCTGGCCAGGGCACCAAGGCCCCCTGCAGCAAATCACCAATTGTTCACCTTATAAATGTGGTGATGGGGATCTGTTTCCCAGGAAATGTTACAGGGGAAGGACCCTGCTGAGGAAAGACTCCAGGTCCATTTCATATCCATTCTTCATATATCCCAGCCCTAACCTGGGTCTTCAGTCACATTTCTAGAAACTTCCCTCTCACCTAGACTTGTGGATTCCTTTAGGACTTGTCACCTGACTCCTCCTTTGTATCACATGATGTTTCTTCCCACAGGGGTACAGGCAATCAGCTACAGTCAGGCTGCAGGTAAGTGTGGAGCAGGGGTTGGCTCCTGAGTGCCTGAGGACAGCGTAGAGGGAACTCTAGGGAAAGTCACCCTCATCAGTTCCTCTGAGGGTCTCATCTCTGGGCTCTGACCAGGTCTCTTCTGTGCTTCCTCAGGCAGCAACAGTCCCCAGGACTCTGGGATGTCTCTCACCCTCTGGGACACACCAGAGGACGGGGCCAGGTTGTGGGGACCTGTGAGTGGGACAGTCTTAGGGTGCAGTGGACTACTCAGAATATTATCACTTAATGTAACTCACCAGAATTTCTTCAATATTATTTTCCATCATAGAATGAGAGCTCTGCCTTTTGTGGGACTGAATGTTATAGAATTTCTCTCAACCCATTTTGTAACTTCAGGATCCTCTGCTTTATTTAATCTTATTTGTTTTCTAGCTGTCAGTGAGTGATATAAAAATTTTCATTAAATCTGTTTATTTTTTCTCTTACATCATTGTTAATTTTTGTATAATATTTTATTTCTCTCTCAGGTGTAGTCCTTATAGTTCTCTCACCACCATAGCACCCATGATCCATCACTACAGTCCCTTGTGCTCTTCCCTCCCCTGTTTGGAACCATCTCTCTCCCTTTCCCCTGCTGTGTGGCTCAGATCTAGGATCAGGCTGCAAGTTTTGTCTTTATTCTGACACTTTGTTTGATTTCTGTATATCCCACATATAAGGGAAACCATCTGATATTTATTTTTTCCTTATGACTTCTCAAGCTTAGTATCTCTTCCTGCCCCATCTATATTTCCCAAATGGCATGAGTTTATGTTTTTGATCACTGAGTAGTATTCCACTCTGTGTATGGACCACACCTTCTTGATCCATTCACAACCCCCTGATTTAAAACAATGATAACCAAAAGCAGGATGTTTCCCAAGCCTGCTGCTTTGGGGAGTGTACCGCTTTGATTCTGCTCCTTGCTGGAGCGGAGAAGTGCTGGGTGTACTGCACTGCTTGTCTGAGGTGGAGCCATGACTCCTTTGAACCAATTCCCAAACACTGAAGAATGATCCCACTGAACCTGCCGGTGTGGTAATTAAATCTCTCGCTTTCTACTTCTCTGAGTGCCTTCTGATTTCTCTCGGGAAATTGCTGTGAGGTTTTTGTTCCCTGATCAGGACCCTCCAAAGCCAGTGGCCCCTGGACTGGGGCGGCGTCCACATCTACAGGCCTAGCACAATCCTGGCGTTTGGGGAGCAATTCAGGCAGGTGTCAGTACTAAGAAAACTGGGTCCTTAGTCCAGGTCGTGGAGTCCACATGGGGGCAAGACAAACTCAGATGCCAACCTGGTGCCAGAGGCCACCCCCCCACTCCACTGTGGGCCCCCTATTCCTCGCCCAATGCCAGGCAGAGCTCCTCCTCCTGGTAACCCTCCTGCTCAGCCAGCTTCTGCCAACAGCTACCTAGGTCCTCACTGCCTGGGATGCTGGGGTCCCTGAGAGCAGCCACCAGCACACAGTATGATGCCTATGCAAAAAGGCAGCAGAGGTCATGCAGCCCGGGGATCTCAGCCTGCAGGTGCCAGTTAAATAGTGTGAGTCGCAGATCTGGCCTCAGTGGCTCTGCAACTACCGACTCACCTAGATGAGGTGGCCTCGCTGCTCCAGAGTGACCAGGCGCACCGCTGCCTCCTGCTGCAGGCGCTACACCAGCTCCTCCTTGCCCAGTACCGCCATTCCCTCGTCCATCAGCTCCTGAGCACCCATGGTGGCTCAAGTGCGACATCACCTCCTGCCACTGTTGTCTGGAGCCCCCAGTGCTCAGGCTCAGGGCCTGCGCCGGCAACTACACCCAAGTTGAGATGAAAGAGAGCTTGCATCAAAAATAAAGAAGAATATTCCATTGTGTATATGTACCACATCTTCTTGACCCAGTCATCTATTTTTGGGCATTTGGTTGTTTCCAGGTTTTACCTATTATAAATAGTGCTGCAATAAACATGGGGGTACAGGTGGCCTTTTGAATCAATGTTTCTGTGTCCTTTGGGTAGATCCCTGGGAGTGGAATTGCTGGGTCATATGGTAGCTCCATTTTTAGTAGACTGAGGAAGCTCCAGACAGCTCTCCATAGTGGTTGGACCAGTTTGCACTCCCACCAGCAATGTAGAAGAGTTCCTTTTTCACCACATCCTTGCCAACATTTGTTGTTGCTATTTTTTTTTATATGTGCCATTCTTAATGTTACTCAGCCATCAAAAAGATAAACTCATGTCATTTGCAGCAACATGGATGGAGCTGGAAGGAATTATGCTCAGTGAAATAAGTTAGAAGGAAAAATGAAAAATATTGGATGGTTTCACTTATAGCAGGAATATAGGGGAACGAAACAAGGCATCAGTGTAAAAAAATAATAGCAATACAACACACAGACAATTATAAACCAGAGACATGCTGCAGGGGAAGGGAGAGAGGGAGGAGCACAAGGGACTGTGGTGATGGTGCACAGGTGCATTGGGGAGGAAATTCTATAGGGACTACACGGCGGGGAGGGGGGATGGGAAGCAAATACTGTTTAAAAATGAACAATGATGTAAAAAACAAATAATTTTAAAATAATAAAAATAAATAAATAAAATCACAAATTAAAAAAAAAAGGTGAAAACACCGGAGGAGTGATGGCTTCTACCAGATGGATAAACTTTTGTCCCTTTAGTTTGCTTCTTCAGGTGCCAGATTTGTGTACAGCACACAGGCTTCTCCCTTTTAAGGACCTGTAGGTGGATCACAAAAATCAAGCCTTGCAGAGGCTACAGATATTTACTTGTTCTGATCTGCACCTTCTCTGGGTGGGTAGAGGCGTCCCCTCCAGAACGGAGAAGGCCCAAGAAGTCACCAAAGCTCTTGTAAGGGGAAATAATTCCTAGTATGGGATCCCCGTGACTATTGGCAGTGATACTGGCCTAGACTTTGATGCTGAAATCACCACTCACCTGACTCGTTTACTTCATATTACATGGAATCTTCCCATCTATCGGCCACAGAGTTCTGGGACAGTAGAACATGTCTCCTGAACCATTAAATGACTCTGGGAAAATTTTGCCAGGAAACAGGTTAGCCCAGGGTGGACCTTCTCCCCTTAGTGCTTCTCAGAATTCGGCGCACTCCCAGTGCCAGTGGCTACACCCCCTTTGAGATTTTGCTTGGCCGGCCTCCCCTGTTGTGTCTGTGGTGAGGGGAGACCTCAGACACACTGGCCAACTGCGACTAAATTGGCAGCTGCAGCTCCTTAGTAATGTCCTACACAAGGATAATGAAACTGTCACCCAGAGGGCCCCGTACCTCTGGAATCCCCAGTTCATCCCCACAAACCTGGGGACTGAGTCTGGGTAAAAGACTGGAAAAAGAACCACTCAAACCTGTCTGGGTGGGAACCTGTGCTGTCATCCTTACTACCCTACTGCTGTCAAATTTGCAGGTGTTACTCTGAGGGAACGCGACTCCCCAGATATGTGAGCTCACATGAGACATCGGAACCGTGGATGGCCTGCCCGGACGCTGCAAACCAGCTCAGACTGACCCTGCAGAGAGACTCCTGCCCAGCACTGTGACCTGTTGCAGCCCTGCTCCAACCACAGCCCGGAAGCGGGTTGGCCTGCGCACAGCCAGGTGCATCACGGTGCTTCACGAGGTGAAGCTCGAGGTGCATCACGGGGAATGCTTATGGGCTGCTGGATTGGACCCAGTGGTGGCTGCTTCTCTTGTTTCCCTTGGTGGGACAGCATCACCACACTGTGCCTTGGCTCCCTCCTGTCCTGGGTCCACTGATCTCCATTCTTGTAATGCTCACCCTTGGGCCGTGGCTTTTAATCTGGCCACACGGTTAATCCAGTCCTGTTTGGAGGCTATTAAACTCCACATGTTAGTTAGACAATATGAGCTCTTAGGCTCCTTTCCTGCTGCTTGCTATGAGTCCATACCTTGATACTCCCTAGCACATAGTAGGGACATCAAAAGGGGGAGAATGAAACAGAAAGTTTCCCAAGGCTGCTGCATGGGGGAGTCTACCACTTTGATTCTGCTGCTTGCTGAAGCGAAGAAGTTGCTGTGTGTGCTGCACTGCTTGTCCGTGGTGGTAACCGTGACTCCCTTGAACCCCCTTCCCAAACTATAAAGAATTCTTATGCTATGGTGGATGGGATAGCAAGTTTCCTTATATAAATTGTATAAAACCTTGCCATTCTTGTTCTTGGGTGCTCAGCCCTTTGGGGAACATTCCCACTGAGCACGCTAGTGTGACATTAAATCTCTCTCCACCTCTCTAAGTGCTGTCAGATTTCTCTGGGAAATTGCTGTAACAAAACCACTTCATGTCTGTGAGAATGGCCTATATCAGAAAGACCAGACATTAATAAGTGCTGGCAAGGACATGGCGAATAGAGAACAGTCCTACATTGTTTATGGGGATGTAGATGGGTTCAGTTTTGATGGAAACAGTATCAAGATTTCTGCAAATAGCCAAAGCTCTCCTGACTAAAAAGAAAGAGAATGGAGGCATCACACTCCCAGACTTCAAACTGTACTATAAAGCCATAATAATTAAAACACTACGATACTAGAACAAAAAAAAACACACAGACCAATGGTATTGAATAGAAAACCCAGAAATAAACCCACATATTTATGGACAACTAATCTTTGACAAAGGAGCAAAGTATAGGCAATGGAACAAGGACTGTTTGTTCAATAAATGGTGATGGGAAAATGAACTGCTACAAACAAAAAATGAAGCTAGACTACTACCTCACACCATGCACAAAAACCAACTGAAATTTGATAAAAGAATTCAACGTAAGACCTGAAACCTTAAAATACATAGAAGAAAATATAGGCAAAACACTACATGATATAAACATCCATAATATCTTTAAAGACACAACCCAAAAAGCAAAGAAAGTAAAGGAAAAGATAAACAGCTGGGATTACATCAACCTAAAAAGCTTTAGTACAGCAAAAGAGATATTAACTAAAACAGAGAGATCCTTCTGATTGGGAGAAAAATTTTGCTCACAATGCAACTGGTAAGAGACGATAACAAAGATCTACAAAGAACTCACAGGACTCAACAAAAATAAACAATCCAGTCAAAAAATGGGAAGAAGAGCTAAAAAGATTTCTCCAAATAGGAAATGCAAATGGCCAACAGGTATATGAAAAAATGTTCAACATCACTTAAATCAGGGAAATGCAAATCAAAACCACAATGAGATACTGCCCTAAACCAGTGAGAATGGCACATATTAAAAAGACAGGAAACATAAGGGGGGTGGGAATTGTATGGGGAATAAAACCAAGATGAAAATGCATTTATTGTGCAAAAATGATGTAAAAATATATAAAATAAATAAAATATTTTAAAAAATAGTCAACAACAAATGTTCTCAAGGATGTGGAGAAAAGGGAATTCTCCCACTGGCTGGTGGGAATATAAACTGGTCCAACCATTATGGAAAACTGTGTGCAGTTTCCTCAAACTACTAAAATGGAGCTGCCATATGACCCAGCAATTCCACTCCTAAGAATCTACCCGAGGGATACAAAAGCATTAACTCAAAAGGATACATGTCCCTCCTATATTTATTGCAGCAGTATTTATAATAGGTAAGATGTGGAAACAACTCAAATATTCTAAAATAGATGACTGGATCCAGAGGATGTGGTGTATATACAATGGAATACTATTCAGCAATCTAAAAATATCAGCACATGCCATTCTCAATGTGGATGGAACTAGAGGGGATTATGTTCAGTGAGATAAACCAGAGAGATGAAGAAAAATATTGGTTGATTTCACTTATAATAGGAATATAGGGGAATCAAACAGGGACCAGGAAAATAAATAGCAGTAGTAATAAATAAATAAACAAAATTAGCAGAAAACTATAAATCAGAGACATTTTGCAAGGGAGGGGGAGGTAGAAGAAGCAAAACAGGGGAGAAGAGCACAAGGGACTAGGATGATGGTTCATGGGTGAATTGGTGCTGGGAATTTTATGGGGAATACACCTGAGGAGAAAGCATACAAGCAGACATTGTACAAAATTATATATATATATATATATATATATATATATATATATAAAACAGTATTGAGATTTCATAGACGATTAAAAGTGTGTCTGCCATAGGGCCCAGCAGTCCTACTTCTATGTATGTACCCACAGAACACAAATACACTACTGTGAAGGACACCTTGCACATCCGTGATCACTGCAGCACTAATTACAATATCCAAGCTATGGAAACAACCAAAATGCCTGAAAACAGATGAGAAATCAAGAAGAAGTGGTATATAAATAGCAGAATACTACTTATCAGAAAAACATAAATTCATGCCATCTGGGGCAACATGGATGGAGCTAAGGCTTCCTGGCCTGGCAGCGCTGGATGGTGGACCAACCCTCTCTAGTTTGGCATCAGACTCATTTGATGACAAAGCCTGACTCCCGCTGACTGAGTCCCCCATTGTATTTTGTTGCACCTGCACCACCACTGGATCCTCCAGCCTCCCCTATTTGCTAGAGCTGAGATGGATCTTATACTCGATGTTGCAGATAATTTTTTTATATATTATTTCTATATCCAACCACAGGGCCAGAGTATGACATCTTCCAACAAACTGTCATTCTCCTGGTTATAAGAAATCTTGGTGCTTTTATTCGTTTTTTCCTCTTTGTGACAATGAGCGTTATTTTGTCTATAGTCATTCCGGAATGAACCACCCACAATATTTATAGAAGCAAGTCTACTGAGAATCATGTTTACTGTTAGGTCATTACCATGGAGTAAGTATTCCCACCATCTGTGGGAATACTGTGGGGCTGAGAAGATGCAGCAAATTATATGACAACATGGGAGAGTTTCCAAACAACTGGATTCAACTCATTGTACCTGTATGGTCCTTCCTCTTTCTCACCAACATGCTGATCTACTGGATTCACACAGACCTTCGCCATAGACTTATAGATATGCAAATCCATGAACCTCATCTCTGGAAGATCCCTTCTTCACCAGCAAGTCATGGTTTTAACCCTGTGGATGGTTTTCTTCAGAGTCTACCTTATCATCTCTACCTTTAATCTTTCCATTATATCAGCTGGTTTATTTAGGTTGTACATCTCGGTCAATGTCTGCACAATTTCCATTCATGACAATGATTTCTGTCTCCTCAAATCTTAAGGCCATTTATTAATGACTCAGCTCATCAGACAGACCATCACCTTTTCTCTAACTACAACTGTGGACAGTATTTTACATTGTGGGGTAGAGTTGGAGGCCCATTCAATAACCCTTCCTCCTTTGAAGGGAAGAAGGTGACAGAAAAAAGCACAGCAGCCAGCAGAAAGTTGTAAAAAATAAGAAATTATTCAGTGGAGAGTTTACAAAGACTGAGCAGATTATTGCCCAATTATTAAATTTTTAAAGATTTATTTATTCATGCATACAAGAACAGGAGTATAGGCCAAATGTGCGGGAGCATGAGAGGATTCACCAGAGACAGAGTGGGGAATGAACAGGCAGACTGACTGAAATACACTGCTGATGGGAGCAGCGGGAAGACAGGAGAAGTCTGCCGAGCCATGTGGGTATCTCCCTGGCTGGCCAGGATCGAACCCATGCTGCAGAGGCTGCAGACAGCTTCACAGCACTGTGCTCAACCACCTGCACCACCAGGGAGGCCAATTATTAAATATTTTTAATGATAGAAAATAATCTACATCCAGCCAGGAGACAGCAATGGTAGCATTTGACACTCCGCATTGAGGGCCCTACTGAGGGATGGTCGTGCTGAGAGACCAAGAGAAACCAACCTCATGTGTAAGTACCAGGGATTGACCTAAGCAGTGGCTGTCTTTCCAGCCAGTGAATCTGTAACTTACATAGTCTCATTAATAATTTTTAAAAAGTTGGAGAGAAAATAAATGATTGAGGAAACCATGTTATGTCCTTTTGCCTTAACCCACCACATTCGTTAAGAAAAACTCATTGTGCTAATAGCACCAAGGCTCTGCACCGTAACAAGGAACATGGGTACAGTGACAGATGGTGCCTGGTGTCAGGAGTAAGTTCTCTCTTCCCTGCTGGCCCGGCAATGACCTTGTAGTACTTTGTTCAAGGGGAAACCCCAATGTGACAGCAGGTCTGATAGAATCTGTAGTAACTATGCAAATGAATTTCTTATATTTCATATGTCCCCCTATTCTCTGGGACATTGTTAAATGTTACATTTTACTGATGAATAAATAAACTGGAATTTAAAAAATTGATACTACCGTGATTTATCAGATGTGGGATTATTTAATTTAACATTTTGATGTTTATTTTTAAAAACCATTACTTAATAAGTGTAAAATTATGTGAATGTAAATATATTTAGAAAGGGAAATATGATGCCCAAGTAATATATTTCACTATTTTTTAAAGATTTATTTATTTATGCATGTAAGAACTGGGGTACAGGCCAGAGGTTTGGGGGTTGAGAGGATTCACCAGAGACAGAGAACAGTGGGGAACAGAACAGGTGGACTGACTGAAATACACTGCTGAGAGGAGCAATGGTTGAGTCAGGAGAGGTCTGCTGCACCATGTGTGTCACCTCCATGGCAGGGCATTGAACTCGAGCTGCAGTGTCTACGGTTAGCCTCATAGTGCCACGTCTTAACCCCTCGCGCCGCCAGGGAGGACCTTCGTATTATTTTTTAAAGCAAACTCAGGTGCTGTAGTTTTGATTTGTTTTGAAGTTATAAGTCTATAACTTTCTATGAAGGGTAACAATGGCCACGTATTTAACCCTGCCACTGAAGATTAGCGCTGAAATTATAATCTTCCTGCTTTTTTTCTCTACCTCCTCTGCCAAAAAATCTAATAAATAAATTCATATGTTTTAACATAAATATATTGGAGAAACATGGTTTGCAAACTATTAGCTATTTATGTGAAACCAATAAAAGTTGATTATGACTATCAACAACACATACTCACAGACACTGACCCTTGAAGTCTGCATGTAGAACAGCGGCTACCAGAGGGCAGGGGGAGGGTAACCGCAGAGCAGGGAGGGTCTCAGTGGGCTCTGCTGGAGGACCTTGGGGCTCAGGTGTGGGTGTACTACAGTGACAGCACCTGAGTGGTGACCCTGACCTTCTACAGTGTAAGCAGTGATGTAACCGCTCCCTCAATAAAGATCCTCTGGTCTCTCTTGCTGCAAAGGGCATCCTCCTGTGTCTGGGGTCACATTAGCATAAAGTGAGGAAGTGGGGAGACTGGCCCAGCCCTGCCCACCAGGCCCCTCCCCACACTGACCTGTGTCTCTCCCTGATGACTTTCCTGCTCCAGCAGAGGCGGAGCTGGCTCCACCCCTGCCTGGACTTTGTGTTTTCCTGAGGAGTGATGTCCACTTCCCTACTGAAAAAAGACACCCAGACATAAAATGTTTTTTTTCTGGGTTGTTTTTTTTGATGTGTTAATTGAAAAGATTCCTAAAATTTGACTGAAAATAAGTAGGAGCCCTGAAGACCAACCAGAACTGCAGCTTGCTGTGCTGAGTCTGTGCAGGTGGGGGCAGGAGAGACTGTGAGGAGCCGAGGGGGACGGGGCCTGTGTCCAGTCGGTGTTCAGTGTGTCATGGGCTTTGATGTGGTCACTCCTCAGGGGTCATGTCTCTGCTCCTTTGTCCTTGTCGTTCAGGATCACCTGTCCCAGCAGGGCCTGTGCCAGACACCACCTGGGCCTGTCCAGTCTCCAGGATGTGGGTGCAGGCTGAGAGTGGCTGGATCAGGCTACACTTAGACAGGGCTGGGCCCTCAGGCCTCAGTGTGTTTATATTTTGCTTCTTTGGGGTTTTTTTGGAGCACACCTGTTCTTTTTCGTGTTCAGGCATCAGGCTTAGGCACCTGCTATTGTCCCCACAAGGCCCAGGGCTGCCCCTGCCCACAGGAGTCTGGTGTTAGAGATGAATTTTCCGACGCATCCTGGTGTGGGTAAGAATGTGGGGAAGGTGACCCAGAGAAGGTGCGTGGGGACAAGGAAGAGTGCTACTCTCCTAGCATGGACAGGGTGGGCCTCACCTGGACATTACCTTTGAGAGAAGACCTGATGGACACTCCATACGCACAGGGTGTCTGTAGAAGCTCTGTCCAGGCAGGGCGACCTCCAGCCCAGACACACCAAGATGGGGGTGTCTGGTGTCAGAGGCTGCGGCTGGAGAAGGGGTCACTGAGATGGGGGTCTGTGCACCCTGAGGATGATGAGACTGTTGTCACTGAGGATGTTGGAAGGATTTTGCCTTTTCTCTGAGTAAGACGTGGGGTCACACGACATTTCTGGACAGAGACAACCTATGCCAGGGCCCTTTAGGAGCATCAGCTGTAAGATACAGGCGTGTGGGAGGAGAGAGCACTTGGAGAGAGACGTGGAGGGAAGACACAGGAGATGGGCGAGACAGTAGAGGCATGCAGCACCATGTGGGTAGCTCCTAGGCCTGGGATCAAACTCTTGCTGCAGGGCTGGCCATAGCTTGACAGTGCTGAGATTTAACCCTTGCGCCACCAGGGAAGCTCCACCTTAATGGTTTGTTTATTTTTAATTATTTATTTATTTATATATATTTTTCATCACTGTTCATTTTTGTACAATGTTTGCTTTCTTTTCTCAGGTCTAGTCCCCATAGAATTCCCAACACCAGTTCTCCCGTGCACCATCACCATAGTCCCTTGTGCTCTTCCCGCACTTGTTTTGATCCCTCTCCTTCCCCCTCCCCCTGCAGAATGTCTCCGATTTATAGTTGACTGTTTATTTTATTTTATTTTGTTTTGTTTTTTTTCCCAATCCCTTATTTGATTCTCCTATTTTCCTCCTATAAGTGAAACCATCTGATATTTTTCTTTTCCCTTTTGACTTATTTCACTGAGTGTGATCCTTTTTAGTTGCCTTCCATGTTGCTGTGAATGGCATGAGTTTATCTTTTTGGATTGCTGAATAATATTCCATTGTGTATATATACACAACATCTTCTTGATCCAGTCA